GGTAAGAGCCTCCATCCCTGCCTCCTCCCCTTGTATCCCTCTCCCCCAGCCCCAAGAAAACAGCGAGGTCCACCATGCTCTTTGCTCTGACCTCCAAAACCTCACGTTCACACACACCGCTTGTCCCCCCTGCTGCAGGAGACTACTGGATCGATCCGAACCAGGGCTGCACCCTGGATGCCATCGAGGTCCACCATGCTCTTTGCTCTGACCTCCAAAACCTCACGTTCACACACACCGCTTGTCCCCCCTGCTGCAGGAGACTACTGGATCGATCCGAACCAGGGCTGCACCCTGGATGCCATCAAAGTTTTCTGCAACATGGAGACAGGCCAGACCTGCGTCTACCCCAACCCCAGCAGCATCCCCAAGAAGAACTGGTGGACCAGCAAGACCAAAGACAAGAAGCACGTGTGGTTCGCAGAGACCATTAATGGCGGTTTCCACGTAAGTGTCCCCCCGGGCTGGTGCTGCGCAGCGGGAGCGGGAAGGGAGGTTGAGCAGGGGAAGGCGTTGGTTGGAAGGTTGGGACGTCCTTCCTTGGAGTTATGTTGATGGATGTTATGCGAGGGACTGGCTGTTCTAGAGGACTACACTGAAAGCTTGGAGATGGGTCAGTTGGGCTTTGATTTTTGCAGCCATCTAGGAACGTAAAGTATGGAAGTCCTCTCAAAGGGTGGCTGGAAATAGGGTTGTTATGACACCCCCAGGCTTTAATGTCTCGCCTCTTCCCTCCAGTTTAGCTACGGCGGTGAAGACCTGTCTCCCAACACTGCCAACATCCAGATGACCTTCCTCCGCCTCCTGTCCACCGAAGGCTCCCAGAACATCACTTACCACTGCAAGAACAGCATCGCCTACATGGACGAGGAGACAGGCAACCTGAAGAAAGCCATCCTCATCCAGGGCTCCAACGACGTGGAGATCAGAGCCGAGGGCAACAGCAGGTTCACGTACAGCGTCTTGGAGGACGGTTGCACGGTAAGTCCACAGGCGCCTGCGAGAGAAAGACGTAGACTATGAGTTGGGGTTCAACCCACGAGGTTGCTGTTGCCTTGGAGGGCTCCAGAGCATCTCATAACATCCTTCTTCCTTGGTTTCTCCCCAGAAACACACTGGCAAATGGGGCAAGACAGTCATTGAGTACCGATCGCAGAAGACCTCGCGCCTGCCCATTGTAGATATTGCACCTATGGACATTGGTGGAGCCGATCAGGAGTTTGGCGTGGATGTTGGCCCAGCCTGCTTCTTGTAAAAAGAGTTGTTTTATTTGTGTTTGTTCGTTGTTGTTGTTTGTTGTTTTTTTTAAAAATCCAGCCCAATACCATAAAAGAAAACTTTCAAAAGCCCAAAACCCACCCCAAGGACCTGAGTACTTTCCAATCGCTCGTCCGACTTCTGCACTGAATGGCTGCAACGACCCCTCGATTCACGCCCTTCCGTCGGGGACCACCGCCTCTTTCCAACGCCGGCCGGGCAGGCTGCGAAATCAGAAAACCCACGGTCTTATTTATTTATTCTCTTCCTGTAAGACCTATTTTTTAGGTCAGGTGGAGGTGGGAATCTAAGTGGCAGGTACGACGGCCCTGCCCTGGCAAAGGGATCTCGCCAATCCAGGTATCATGAATCCCCTCCCGCCCCCTTCCCTCCCCCGGTGTATCACCATGTTGCTAATGTATAATTTGATAAAAAAAAAAAAATGGTGCTATTCTTGTAAAACAAGTCTGTATTTTTTAACATCAGTTGATATAAAAAGAAAAAAAAACTTTTGGTGGAGAGTACATGTTGGTCTGGGCTTTGTTTGTCGGCGGGGGCTGCGGTCTGACTCCTTTCTCCTTTTTGTTCAGCCATGATAAGGGAAGGTTTTGGGTCAATCTCGAACTTTTCTGGGTTGAAGCTGCCTCGCACTAAGGAAAAAAATCAAAACAAAGCAAATAAATCCCCCAAAAAGCCAAAAAAAGGGAAGGGAGAACCATTTTAAGTGAAAAATCTTGAAGCACCAGGAGCCGACGCAACAGCCACGAGGTTCTGTTACGGGATCTCCTGTCCCATCGCCCCCTGAACAGAGCGGGGGTGAGTCGAAGGAAACCAGTAAAACCAGTGAGGAGAGGCACGCTGAGACCAGTCCTCAAACAAATCAGTACGGCCACGGCCAGGCGGTGCCCCCTAAGCCTCCTCCCATCGGCACCACGGAACTGGTCCCATTTTGTGGTGTGAGATGTGGCTCCAGGGGACATCTCGCGGTACCACGGGCGGCGGAGTTCGCAGCCACGGCGTGCGCGCTGCTGGTGCGTCAAGCAGCTGCGCCTTCACGGGGTCAGGGAAAGTTATGTACGTGAACTCTCTTCATGGGGCTTGCAAATTAGAGGAAAAGCCTCAGTAGTTTAATTATTCTTTTTTATTTTTTTACTATCTGAAGGAAAATTACCCCACAAGAGCTGGAAACACGCTCGAGCTTTAGGCACAGGGCGTAGCGGGCAGCTGTTGACTGGGGGTTTTAGGAGTTTCAGACTGCTTTTGTGAAAACCTCAGCTCTGCGCATCTGTCGATAGCATGGGCACCACAGTTTTTCATTAAGAGAAATTACAACTTGAAAGGATT